TCCCCGCCCCGTCTTGGGTCCTGCCCCCAGGGAGTGCAGGGCTGCTCTGTCCTCTAGGTACCCTCCCCTGCTGAGCCACCTCTCTGGCCCGGTTCTCTGAAGCCCCTGCAGTCAGGTTCCCTGGGCTCTGGTGCACAATGCATCTTTAGGGATTAACCCCTTCCTGCCCATGCTGTAGCTGGAGGTGGTTGGTTTATGTCGGTGGCCAGCAGCAGCCTGGAGGTGTTAGCTGCCTTTCAACACTGTGTGGGCAGGAAGGGACAATCTATTTCCAGCCACACTGGGACCAGGGGAGGGAGAGAGAAACTCTGCAAAGACACTGGCCAGGTCATCCATTCCCTTTCCTCCTCCCCTGTGGCTGGAAGCAGCTCCCATCCTTTCTCTCCCACACAGTGCCGAAAGGCTGCTGCTGGCCACATTCCGGTGTGAACCCTGGCAGAAATCGGGGGGGGGGGGCATGTGACCCTGCGTCCTCCCTCATGTGTTGCCTCGGGAAGACACAGCACCAGGTACCAGGAGAGGCAGGTCTGTCCCGGGGGCCCAGACAGGCATGGAGGGCGGAGATTGCCGAGCAGGGAGGGGCAGGTCAGTCGGTTACCCCCCCTGTGTGAGAGAGGTGTACATAAATGTGTGTGTGTCACCCCTGTTTGTGCGAACCCTAAAGCCTTAAAGATAAGAAGGTAAATAAAAAGAATCCAACTACACAGTATTTCTGTTTAACAGGGGCTCAGTCAATGTGATTTTAATTTGAAAGTTTGTACTGCATAGTTCTGATTGATTGCTGTTGAACTCGCTTTAATAAGAGTAATTTTATCAGGTGTCCCATATTCAGCATAGGGAAATATGGTCACTCTATTCTTAAAGAGGGCAGAGGTCTATAAAAAGAAAGGGGAAACACCCTAAGGGACCCGTTCCTCTTTGCTCACTCTCTGTCCATCAATTCACTGCACTATAAGAAACAAAGGAAGCAGCCATTAAACACCAGAAGGGGTCTGTTGAGTGTATATGGTAAGATCATGTGGTGCATGGACATGCACAAGTCTATGGGTCCAGATCTAATGCACCTGAGGGTGCTGAGGGAGTTGGCTGATGTGATGCAGAGCCGTTGGCCATTATCTTTGAAAACTCATGGCGATCATGGGAGGACCCAGATGATTGGAAAAAGGCTAATGTAGTGCCCATCTTTAAAAAAGGGAAGAAGGAGAATCCGGGGAACTACAGACTCACTTCAGTCCCTGGAAAAATCATGGAGCAGGTCCTCAAGGAATCCATTTTGAAGCACTTGGAGGAGAGGAAAGTGATCAGGAACAGTCAACATGGATTCACCAAGGGCAAGTCATGCCTGATGGACCTGATTGCTTTCTATGATGAGATAACTGGCTATGTGAATATGGGGAAAGCAGTGAACGTGATATACCTTGATTTTAGCAAAGCTTTTGATAAGGCCTCCCACAGTAGTCTTGCCAGCAAGTTAAAAAAGTATGGATTGGATGAATGGACTATAAGGTGGATAGAAAGCTGGCTATATCGTCGGGCTCAGCAGGTAGTGATCAATGGCTCAATGTCTAGTTGGCAGCCAGTATCAAGCAGAGTGCCCCAGGTGTTGGTCCTGGGGCCAGTTTTGTTCAACATCTTCATTAATGATCTGGATGATTTGCACCCTCAGTAAGTTCACGGATGACACTAAGCTGGGGGGGAGAGGTAGATATGCTGGAGAGTAGGGATAGGGTCCAGAGTGACCTAGACAAATTGGAGGATTGGGCTAAAAGAAATCTAATGAGGTTCAACAAGGAGAAGTGCAGAGTCCTGCACTTAGGAAGGAAGAATCCCTTGTACCACTACAGGCTGGGGACCGACTGGCTAAGCAGCAGTTCTGCAGAAAAGGACCTGGGGATTACAGTGGATGAGAAGCTGGATATGAGTCAACATTGTGCCCTTGTTGCCAAGAAGGCCAACTGCATACTGGGCTGCATTAGTAGGAGCATTGCCAGCCGATCGAGGGAAGTGATTATTCCCCTCTATTCGGCACTGATGAGGCCACATCTGGAGTATTGCGTCCAGTTTTTGGGCCCCCCCCCACTACCAGGGGGGGCGGAGCAGCAGAAAAAAAAAAAAACACCTGTGGGGCGGCTGGAGTGGCAAAGCAGAAAAAAAAAAACCCTGCAGGGTGGCCAGAGCAGCAAAGCAAAGCAAAAAAAAAACCAAAACAAAACCTGCAGGGCGGCTGGAGCCAGGGTGCAGGGAGACTCCCTGTGCTGCAGACGTGCAGTGGAGTGCGTGCCCAGTCTAGCGGGGGGGGGGGGAGGAGGAGGGAGCGGGAGGGAGAGGGAGAAAGAGGAAGGGGGGTGGCCAGGGCTTCAGCGGGGCACTCACCATGTGGCCCCTCCCACCACTCCACCTGCCGGGAGGGCTCTGCGCCGCTCTGGTCAGCTAGGGGGGAAGGACGCGGGCTGCCTTGCCGAGTTTGCTGCAGGGCGCTCCCCTCCTCCGTGCCGCCGCCCCCTACAGGGCGGCCGGAGCGGCAAACCAAAAAGAAAAAAAAAGGGTGGCCAGAATGCCGCCCCTTGGAATGTGCTGCCCCAAGCACGAGCTTGCTCGGCTGGTGCCTGGAGCCGGCCCTGCCCACCACAGAACGGATGTGGACAAATTGGAGAGTCCAGTAGAGGGCAACAAACATGATCAGGGGGCTGGGGCACATGACTTACCAGGAGAGGCTGAGGGAACTGGGCTTGTTTAGTCTACAGAAGAGAAGAGTGAGGGGGGATTTGATAGCAGCCTTCAACTACCTGAAGGGGGTTTCAAAGAGGATGGAGCTCATCTGTTCTCAGTGGTGGCAGATGACAGAACAAGGAGTAATGGTCTCAAGTTGCAGCGGGGGAGGTCTAGGTTGGTATTAGGAAACACTATTTCACTAGGAGGGTGGTGAAGCACTGGAATGGGTTACCTAGGGAGGTGGTGGAATCTCCATCCTTAGAGGTTTTTAAGGCCTGGGTTGACAAAGCCCTGGCTGGGATGTTTTAGTTGGGGTTGATCCTGCTTTGAGCAGGAGATTGGACTAGATGACCTCCTGAGGTCTTTTCCAACCCTAATCTTGTCTGATTCTAAAAACTCTACTTTGAATTTAACATAGTTTAAGATAGGCCCCAGTTGCATATTTTTATTTTTCTTGTATCCATTGCTGACTTTTATGCCTCAATACTTGTGTTCACTTAAAATCTCTCTCTTTGTAGTTAATAAATTTGTTTTATTGTTTTGTCTAATCCAGAGTGTTTACGTTGAAGTGTTTGGGGAAGCTCCATTTGAGGTGACAAAATCTGTGCACATTATTTCCACTGATGAACTAACAGACCTATATAAATCTGTATTGTCCCCCAGAGGGCTGGGCAGTACAGGACATATACCTCTGGGGGGAATTCTGGGACTGAAAGTTGGGGTCACCCTGCAGTATAACCAGGCTGGTAAAAGCCAACGTGTGGCTGGCTGCAGCACACAGAGACCAAGCTGGGAATGACTTGCATGCTGGAGGCTGTTTGTGAGCAGTCTGAGACAAACAACTGGGATAAACAACTTACATTCCACCTTACGTGTTTTATGACATTTGTTTGTTACCTCCCCTTGTTCCTGATATCCCAGACAAAACATCCCTATTCATTATTTTGTTACACTCCGGTCTAGTACAAGATAAGATGGTTTATCTGTACAGACGCGCCCCCCCCCCCCGACTTACGCAATCGTTCTGTTCCGGAAAGCTTTGCGTAACTCAAATTTTGCGTCAGTCAGAAACGTATACCCATACTTTACGCAAAAATTTCCGCAACTCGAAAATCCTGTTTCTGGCTTATGGAACTTTTTCCTGTAAGTGCGAATTTGCGTAAGTCGGGTCTTGCGAAACCCGGGGAGCGTCTGTACTAGCCTTCTGGAATGTATTTAGGTAAATATTTAGAGCCTGCTAATGCCTGTGTTTTAGCAATGCTAGCAGCAACTTTGCCAAGTTCATGTACTGGGCAGTGAACTTGTGAGCATCTGCTTTAATGCATGGCCTGACTCTGGTCACAGCTTCTGATTCATGTCTCAGGTCTTGCACCAGACCCAGTGTTCCAGGCTCTTTCTCTACTACACCTGCAAGGTGCTGAGCTCTCTGTTTTGACACAGCGAAACATGTGTGTGAGTAGTCCCATGGGTTTCAGCAGGACTCCTGGCATGCTTACAATTAAATGTGCGTAAGTGATTTTCTGCCCCAAGGACAGAGTGCTGAGTACCTTGCAGGATCAAGTCCCCAGAACTCAGGCTAAGGTGTCAGAGGGACCCTCAGAGTTGGAAGGGCTCTGTTTACTACACTCACTGAATATCTCACTGGTCTGAGACGGTGGAATGATCTTCCCCAAGAACCAGGGACCATCACAAACCTCATCCACCTCCCACTCCAAGGGCAAGGTGTAGTTCGTTGTCTTTGCCATCTCTGACATAAACATAGAACAACATGAGTATTAAAAACCAAACAAAAAAAAAACAAACCAGGAAACCCCTGCTAATACTCCCTCCACTGCACATGCTTTTTCCCCCAGGGAAGGGATGAGAGAACAAACAACACGTGACAGATGTTAGTCATGTTGCTTAATGTACTACGGGAAAATGCTCAGATACTGCAGTGATCAGACCAGTATAAGAACCTATATAGAATAGATATGTCAACAAAGGGAAGAAATACTAATGAATGAGATGAGTCAGCCTTTCTCGCTGTAAAAGTCCTGACCTGACTGCCCACCCCCAGCTCTGCTGGTGTACCGCATTCTTGGCCTGCACAGCTCACTGCTACTCCAATCCTGCAAATGTCACCACGATACTAATCCACCTCACTTTTAGACCTGCAGTTCCCCCTGTTATCCCAGCTCTGATTTTCTTCCATGAGCAGAGACTGAGAACTATGCCCAAGTGTGTGATAATGTTATGATTTAGAGGAGAGAGTCTGTTAAATAATTTTGTATTTTTTTTTTAAATAGCATGATCACCATCATCATAATCCTGGTAGCAGTGATTGTGCTGATCATCGGCTTTGGTGTTTCAGGTATGTGATTACTTGGATTACTTCCTTACTTCCTGGCAGCATTTTTTTCCCAATCTGTGCGTAGTTCTGTTACATCTTAGTTGGTGTTTTGGAAGCACATGCCACTGGGCAATTATCCTGCTGAAGGATGGACTCCCCAGCCCCCCGGCCCTGTGAGTTTGCTTCAACTGAAATTTTAGGCTTCTTGTTAATCTCAGAATATTTCAGTACTGGGATGAATCTGTGATAACTTTTTAAACTGAGTCTGGGGTCCTGCATTCTAATCCTAGCTCAGATCCTAGTATGCTTTTTAGTATCTGTCATAGAATCATAGAATAGTAGAGCTGGAAGAGACCTCAGGAGGTCATCTAGTCCAATCCCCTGCTCAAAGCAGGACCAACACCAACTAAATCAACCCAGCCAGGGCTTTGTCAAGCCAGCCCTTAAAAACCTCTAAGGATGGAGATTCCATCACCTCCCTAGGTAACCCACTCCAGTGCTTCACCATCCTCCTAGTGAAATAGTGTTTCCTAATATCCAACCTAGACCTCCCCCACTGCAACTTGAGACCATTGCTTCTTGTTCTGTCATCTGCCACATTGAGAACAGCCGAGCTCCATCCTTTTTGGAACCCCCCTTCAGGTAATTGAAGGCTGCTATCAAATCCCCCATCACTCTTCTCTTCTGCAGACTAAATAACACCAGTTCCCTCAGCCTCTCCTCATAAGTCATGTGCTCAAGCCCTCTAATAATTTTTGTTGCCCTCCGCCAGACTCTCTCCAATTTGTCCACATCCCTTCTGTAGTGGAGGGACCAAAACTGGACGCAATACTGGAAGCTGTGCCGAATAGAGGAAATAATTACTCCCCTCAATCTGCTGGCAATGCTCCTACTAATACAGCCCAAAATGTTGTTGGCCTTCTTGGCAACAAGGGCACTCTGCTGACTCATATCCAGCTTCTCATCCTCTGTTATCCCCAGGTCCTTTTCTGCAGAAGTCCTTTTCTGTCAAGTCACTTTGTTATGTCAGTTTTCCCCCTCTGTGGAAAGAAACAGTATGTGATCACGTAGTTAGAGACTGTCATAATGCGTACGCACAAGAGGGAAGAATTAAGGTTCCACAGGCCACTTTATTTCTGTCATTTCCTGCCTTCTGAGGGTTTCACTTTGGAATCTTAATAGCATTCTTTTAATGTAGTTTGTTTTGTATATAAGTTCCTAGGGTTTTAAAAAGGAAGAAACAAACTCTATTTATAAGCAATTATCATGACCACCTCTTACACATTATGATGAAGATTTGCACTCCTAACTTTCAACACTGCAGCACATTTGCAACTTGCGCTAACTGGGCAGCTCTTCTAGCTGGCAGCAGGCACAGGCTGCTATACTCTATGGGCCAGCTGCTACAGGATGCATAATACATTATAACAGTGGGTTACATATGCAAGGAAAATCCATTCTACAGTCAGCATAGCCAAGTACATAGAGGCAGTGTGGCTAAATAGAGCTACCAAATTAGAGTGCTAGGTTCTGTTCCTAGTTCTGCTCTAATATCTCAGGGGTGTGTGAAGCCTTGTTTCATAATGTGCATTGTGAAAGACATGGTGAGTGGATGAAGTGAAACTTAATCTTATGATGTTTTGGCTCCTGGTCCAGTGCACCTTCCCCATGACCAGTGAGATCTGGTGGTGTGGGGTGGAAGAAGGATAGAAGGATCCATTTTGTCTATGATTCTATTCGGCTTTTTATACAGCCCTCAGTACTGTAGTACTGTCTAAAAGTGCATAAGGTGAGATGACTAGCCATCTGTCATGTGTGACTGTTCTTTCTCTCTTCCTCTTCCCACGGAGTCTGTGTGTGCTTTATGCTTTACTTTGTTTCCAATAATATAATATGTACACTTTGCTATGTGTACTCAAGACAGCAGGTTGAAGCAATGCCCCTGGGAGTGGAAGGGGGTGAGTTTTTTGTGATGCTTCTTGGGTGAGTTTGTTACAGTTTTGGATCAGCCTCTGAGAAAGCTCTACAAAGATGAGCTCTAGCATTGTGTGGACAATTCCATTGTGCCTGAGGAACAGAGTTGTCAACCAGCATCCTCATTGCAGAGCTCTAGGCAATCTTTTAGGTATCCTTGTACCAAACTGTTGAGGACCGAGGCCTTGAACTTGACTTGCTATTCTGTAGGAAGCCAGTGTAAAGAGCAAGGGCAGGTTTGATATCCTTACGGTAGTTAGTGTTGCTGAGTAAACATGCTGCTGCATTCTAATCTAATTGGAGTTTCCTGACAGCTGAGGGCTTCCTGACAAGCTATATGGCATTGCCATAGTCCAGATAGGAGAAGACAAAGGCATTTATTATGAGGCCAGGTCATCATCCGCCAGGATGGACACAGTCTCCTGACTAGCTGTAGATGATAGAACATGTTACTTGCAGTTGTTGATAGAACAGGTTGTTTGTCTGTGTCCCATTCAGAGGTCCAGTTCTGTACAACCATAGGAAAGAACTAAGGGGAATCAGGAGGAAGAATTGTGTTTACAATTAATACAATTAAAATTGGGAGGCCAGATAGCCAGCCAGGATGGCCCTAAGCAAATGTCTATCTCCACTCTGACAGCACATTTGATCCCATCCCTTTTTCAAAAGTGTTATGAATATTATTGATTGTGTCATTTGGTATGTATATACTATCCATTATATAAACCCTTTTTAAATTGTCTTTGTTCACTTGCATTTATTCTTTCCCCATTTAATGCCCTTTAGTTGATTTTTTTCTCTTATTTCTGCTCCATATGTTATCTTTTCTTCCATCTTTTTCAGTCTATTTTCCTCTCCATATAACTGTTCTCTTCCCTTCCTATTCTATGTTCTCTTCTTCCAAATTTCCCATCTCTCTGTTCTCTCCCACTATCAATTCTTTCTTTAACTTCTTTCTATGTGTATGTACAGCACCTAGCACAATGTGATCTCATTTGGGGGCCCTAGAAGCTAATGTAGTACAAATGAAAATAATAATAAAGGAAATAGAGGGGCTTACCTGCCTGATAGTGCTTGTGGTCTGTTACCTTATGTACTTGCCTCGTTAGTCATTGGCTAACATATTCCTCCTTTTTAAATTCAGTCTCCTTCCTTCTCTTATTTCTTTCATCTGGATACAGGATGACCCAACCTGACAGGTTGCCTTGGGTGTGAACCAAAGAGAATAGGAGAGTTCTGTTCTAGAAGGGAAAGACCCTGAGTTAGGGATTTACTGGGCTGCCAGGCCATCAATAGGCAAGGGAGATTCAGCCCTGCTTCTGAGCATAATGGGAAATAATCTCATTAAAAACCTCCTGCTGTCTCCCTAGGGTACTTTTGAGAGAGCCTATAGAGGAGTAATTGCACAGAAAGAGGATCTGGCTCAGGCAAGGAGTTTATTCCCAAGGTGATCTGCTAATACAAAAGCTGGAGACTCTGTGGAGATCTGTTCCTCTGTACTGGAGGCCAGTAGCCTGAAGAAGGCAAATGCTGATTTGCTAGATCCCACTACTGGTGGAATGTATGTTGGCCTTTTTATTTTTCTCTTGAATGTTACATCTCTGTAGAATGAGGAGTTTGCTGTTTGCAGTATCTTTTGTAAATACCTACACCTGTGGGAGGAATATAAAGAGACCCAGAGCAACAAAAGCTTTTATCAAAGCCATTTATATCTGAACTTTTGAAAAAAGAGGCAGTGAGAAAAATCCCCTAGAAAGGGAATCAAGCTAGTAGAGAACATGCTTTTATAACCTTTATAGAAACGATTTTCTCTTGTCCTTTTGGGAGGAACTGCTTTTCAGAGTGGGAAGGTACATTGTATAAACACCCCAAAATGCTTTGTAAAAAGTCTTTTTATGAAACACAACTCAAGAACCAGACTCCAGTAGCACTAACCACACCAGGATCTGCAGTAGCCAGCTGCTAGTGCCCTTCTGAGGTGGTTAAAGGCATTCTGCCTCTGCCTTTGCCATTCACATTGTAGCAAGAGCCTGGTAATGCCCAGGGTGTTCTGGCTTGCTGCTGTCCTTTACACATCATGTTGTCATGGCACTGGCACTGAACGTTTGCTCTTTCATTGCAGGGAGACGCTCCATTAGTGTCACCACACTAACCTCCGCTGGGAATATCGGGGAAGATGGCATCTTGGGCTGCACTTTTGAACCTGGCATCAAGCTCAGCAACATAGAGATTCGGTGGGCTAAAACTGGGGTCTCTGGGATGGTGCATGAGTTTAAAGGTGGCAAGGACCATCTAAATGACCAGGATGAAGTGTTCAAGGGCCGGACAGCGATATTCGCAGAGCAGGTGATTGGTGGGAATGCCTCCTTGATGCTGAGAGATGTGCAGCTCTCCGACGCTGGTGCTTACAGGTGCTCTGTCACTACATCCAAAGGGAATGGAGAAGCAGGGCTGGAATATAAGACCGGAGGTGAGGAAAACCTAGTGAGAGAGCCAAAAAACCAAAACCAACCCAGAAGGAGTTGTTTCCGGAATTCTGTTACTTGTGACAGGCCCGGCTAACGCAGATAGGCACCATGCAAACTGAGCAGCACGGCTCTGCTCATACACCAGAATCCTCACATTTAGCATCCTCTTCTATTCCAGTCTAGGGTCCCCCCCGAGCTCCGCCAACTCATTTCTGTCCAAACATGCAGCACCACCTTCTCTAACAGTCCTTGGACATTGTACACCTCTGTCAAGTCCCTCAGTCCTGACCTACAGCCCTACTGCTAATTCCCGTGCTGGGGCCACTCCACCACTACAGGTCTGCCAGTGCTCCTCAGTCCTAACCTGCATCAGCCACTGCTATTCCATTCCTGAGCCTCCTGCCACAAATCACTCTGTGATGTGGGCAAACACCCTCAAGCAATCAAAGACAGTGTGCTAAATCCCGTGAATTTGCAATGGTACCTGTAGGGCAATAAAATGAATCCAGGATTCTGGAGATAGATGGCAAGTCACACTACAGCCAACTCTGGAATTCAGCTTCCAGAGCTATGTGAGCTTCCATTTAAACATACGTGGGACCTCCCTGCATGAGAGTTTTTGATGAGCCCTTTGGAACTACAAGGGTAAATCTAGGCATATCTCCCAAATGTACCAGTCCTTTTCTGTGCTTCCTTCTGTCTCAATTGTTCCTGAGACTTGCTGCATCTTCCCTGTGGTTCTCTAGCAAAACATTTGAGTAAGGAGAAACGTGGGAGTAGCTAAGTAATTCACTGTGGGGAATCTGAGGCTTGTCTCTTGCTTCAGAAACTGGCAGGTGTTTGAGAACTGGGAGTTGACAGGTTACTCTGCTCCTAGTGGAAGCAATGCTGCCTGTCATGTGAGACTAGTGAAAGAGTTGCTTTCTTTTAACACTGCACAAGGAGCTTTATTAGGCCTTGTCTACCCTGTGATTTTTGCATGACACCTCCTGCAGATTCTCCCATGTCAAGGGTATTCTCAAAAAGGGAGTTACAACCACGGCTGGCTCTGGCTTTTTTGCAACCCTAGGCAAAAAAGCCACCCGCCGCGCCCCCCCGCCACGCCCCCCCCGCCACGTCCCCCCCCAGTGCGGAAGGGGAGGGCGCCAAG